ACAAGTGCCACGCTACTAGGAACAGGTGCCTTACTAGTAGTAACAATGATTGCTACTAGAAACAAGTGCCTTACTACAGTGGGTCTGGCAAGTCTGAACTATCCTGCCAGCTACTGGCATCATGGGGCACCTGCAGAAGGCTGGCACATGCAAGAAGAAGCTTCGGTCACCACTCCATTCTTCTCCAAACTTTTTCATTCGCCTCCACTGTTTCTGCTAGGCCTGCTAAGCGCTTCAGAAGTGCCTAAGGAAGCTCCACTGCCACAGAAATGGAAGGCTGAAGGAATGGCTCACAGAAATGGATACCGGGGCGTGATCAATGACCTTCCATGACCTTCAAAAGCGAAGGCCTTGCTATCTCAGAAAGCTTCAGAACGGCAAACCTCTTTAGCAGAGCTGCAATTTGGTCCAGGATCTCTGCGTTTTTTGAATCTGTGGTTGGTCGAGACATGTCCAGGTTCTCTGCCAGGTCAATGATCTTGGCCTCTGCAATTCGCACTGAAGGGGTCGTTCTTTTTCGACGACTAGGAACAAGGAAGCCACTAGGGGCGCTCCTGGCCTTACCACTAGGAACAAGAAGCTACTAGTAACAAAGCGCATCGCTACGAACGGAGCAAGGACGCTACTAGCAGTTGGATCAAAGCATCTGGTGTGAAAAACATGAAAGCATCTAAAACACCGCTATCAGGTTGGAGGCCATCGCTACTAGGTTGGTAGCAGTTGGATCATGACAAAGCATCTGGTGAATGTGAAAACATCTGAAAAAACACAAGACCTAGACATTGTGTCAGCCCCTCTTTCCTAGCAAGCGGGGAACCGCGGGTATTGCCTACTAGGTGTAAGAGGTGCCACGAGGCCACCCTAGGACCAAGAGCTTATCTCTCCAGTTTGTTGCCCTCAAGGACGCCCTTCTCCAAGCATTTTTTGGGGCGTCCGGATTTGGTGAATCATCGTGAGGAATCCATTGAAACGTCTTCCCACCATGGGAGAAGAAGAGCCCAGCCTCCAAAAGGATCCCTGAAGAACAAGTCATTTGAAGGCCCTGACGTTTAGCTGGGTTGGTGCTCGTGCCAAGTTGGAAAATGGTCTTGTTCAGGCCGGGGACTGTTCAAGGAGTCTTCAAAACTGATGTTTTCTTGGTGTTCTTCAGCCCGCCAGGCCATCCACGTTTGCTGCCTGCAATTCATCTGCTCCATGATGGCGTGCTGCGTCCTTGTCAACAAACACGTGCACCAGCTCTGCATGTGTCACACACACACCCACCAATCTACGACAAACATTACAGAACTTGGAGCAGGAGTCTGTAAATGCGCGGTGCTCGTCGCAAGATGTGCTTCTTGATGCATCTGCCGACTTCAACAGGTCACACTGAGTGAAATTGTGCTCCTTGGTTACCATGCAGCTGAACATAGCTGAACCACTGAAACCAGTTAAGCTGCCATGCATAGGGTGCACCGGAGGGAGTGCAGACGAAGCTTCCAAGCGCTTTCTTCTGGGTATTTGCACCTTCCTGCCCTGACCAAACAGGAAAGAAACCCAAGTCAAAGCAAACAACATGGCCAAAATCCACGCGCAGACTGCGTGCACACACGATCGGTCCAAAAACACAAACGGCGCCTCTCGGGCAGCTGGGCAAGGTCCGATTCCGTCACTGAGGTCCAGCATGTCTTCCAACGGTGCCAAATATCTGAGGCGACTGGCTAAAAAGATCAAATAGCCTTGCTACGTAGAGTGTTCATCTGCTTCAAGCAATGAGGCCATCTTGGGGAAAAAAAACATCCTTTTATGCAGGGTCCCGGAGTCAAAGACCTTTTCTTCATTGCCTGCCCGGCTTCCATCAACCGATTCGTCATGCTCTCCTGGCCTTAGGATATCAGTGCCACTCGGGGCCTCAGATCACAGAACCGCCATTTGCTCTGATTTGAAGTCACAAATCCATGGGTTCCACCCTAATAGCAATGGCCTCCAACCTAAGAGCGATGGCCTCCACCCTAGTAGCCATGGCCTCCAACCTAATAGCGATGGCCTCTAGAGAAATTCAATTCCTAAAACTCACACAGGTTTGAAGGCAGTACACCAGGCCGTGGACTGCGCTGTTGGGATATCGAAGAAACTCCAGAAAGTCTTCCGCGTTTTCACCTCAGATTGAGCACCCCAAGTAATTGAGCTACACTGGTTGCATCTGGGGAAACAAAATTCCCAAGAAACTAAAGTTGCCAAACCCGCAACCATTGCATTGCTGACTTAGAGCCCAACGTGCACGACCAACACTCCGCAATGCTGATCTTTCTACAACTTCGACCTCATCAAGACCGAATGCATCCCCCAGCCTCCTGCAGAAAACTGTTTGGTCAAAGAGGTGGTTCAGGCCAAGAACCTACTAACAATGGCCTCCAACCTAATAGGCATAGGGATGATTAGGGATGGCCTCCATCCTAGTAGCGATGGCCGCCAACCTAATAGTGATTTTTGTAAATACAATAATAGCAATAATAATAGTAATAACATGTACGAACATGTGGCAATCTTGCAAAGGAAAGCACTCTTGCCCTTGTTTATCTGTTTCCGCCTCTCTATTTGCAATGTCACCAGGACTGCGTCGACTTGTGGCACAGCGCCATCGGGTTCACCAGCCTTGGGCCTAAAGAAAAAAAACATGATCGAACTTGGTTAAATTTTGCTTGTTTTCCGGACAGGCGGTTTCATCAGTGGCCAACCTCTTTTGGAAATCCACTCCCCTGGGTGCAACAACTCGGGGTTAAAACATCAAAGTGAAAAAGCTCCTAGTAGCGTCCTTGTTCCTAGTAGCGATGCCAGGAGCCCCTAGTAGCGTCCTCTACCCCCCCCCCTTGTGGAAAGTACCATGGGAAGGCAATGGCACGTGTACTGTACTGTTGTTGCAACTTGACGCGCAGCCATGTCCGCTCGTCGAGCAACCGGCCGTATTTGGAGCCCATCACGGCAACAGCGACAATGCATCACAGCAACACACCGCAAACAAACCACAACGCACGACATCAACAAGTACCAGAAAACTGCGCGTCCCATATTTAGACATCATCATCATCACATGACATGTCCATCGGCCATTGAAACAACACACGCAGTCCTATGGTAACTTAATTATAGCTAAAGATTCTGAAATGGCCTCCAACCTAATAAAGGCAAGGCCCTTACCTACAGATTGGCTCCAGAATCCTCTGGAAATCTGGAAATCCTCTATGTCCCCGGGCAAAGGGCCGGAAGCTTCGCATCAACTCGAAGGAATAGACATTTCCGTCCTCCGGTGTGAAGGACCGGTCAGTGTGGGCATCGACCCAAACCACCCACTTGGAGCTACGATCGAGTCGCGATGCCCTTTGTTCCGTTCGTAGCGTTCGGAACTCCTAATGTGAGGAACTACATGAGGTACGACAGTTATGAGGTACGACAGGAATCGCCGCACATGTTGAAACAACAAGGTCGCATGAAGGAATACAGTTATCCTAGTCCCAACATTGGTCCGCTTTGTCACCTCTGGGCCGCCAAGCCAAAGCACGTGGAAAAGGTGGCTTTGTGCATCCAGTCTCAGATGGTTTGATCACCAGCACTGCATAGGCCGGAACCACGTAGAGCAATGGGACAATGCCCCTGGACCATGTCATGTTCCGAGAAAACACGGGCACTGCAGCAGTGAATCACGCTATATCACGCTGTATGCCAGCCTCAACTGAAAGAAGTCAGCGGTGGCACCTTGGATTCAGATCACTGCTCTTCAGTTCCCAAACCTTCCAACCATTAGCAAAATGACGCTACTAGGGGCTCCTGGCCTTACTAATAGGAGCCAAAGGACGCTACTAGGATGGAACAGCGGCACACCTGACCTGCAACCTGTCTGATCTGCCAAAAGGCGCGCAGGGCCCTGGACTTTGTGGAAGAAGTCATCGATCACTACAATTCCACCCGGAACCACCAAATCCCACACCTTCTCCAAGGCATCCTTGGACGGCAACAACCCCATGATAGTGCGCTGACAAGTCCAACCAGTTGTTTGAGACATAGATGCATGTTACTGACAAGCATCCTCTTCAACATGTTTCTGGCCGCTGGCCAAGCTCAACCCCTTTATTCCCATTTTTGGGACCAAGCGCCCAAACCGAGTGGTAGAGATCCCCATCAATATGTACAAAGGCTAGCCTCAGATGGCCGGTGAACTGTACGGGGTCAGTGTGATGCATGAACTGTGATGCATAGGGTTTTGTGTAAAAATTGTGGCCACTGTGGCCTCCAACTTCAAGAAGCTTTTGGAAGTTGGCAGGCGCCACCACGTCAGCAAAGGAGCTGGTCCTTAATCTGCGGCACAGGTTGGGGCTCAAGGCTTGAAGAAGTTAGAACGATTTATGCGTGGTTGCCAATGCCGGCCCTCCAAAAGCACAAAGGCTGCCTAGTTCGCCAGAATTGAAGAATTGCAGGTCGGAAAGGAAGGGAAAGGAAGGGAAGGGAAAGGCAGGGAAAGGCAAGGAAAGGCAAGGAAGAAAGGAAGGGAAAGCAAGGGAAAGCAAGGGAAAGGAAGGGAAAGGAAGGGAAAGGAAGGGAAAGGAAGGGAA